ATTACAAAAAAAAAACACAAAAATAAGAAGTAAAATATACAAAACAAAAATTAAAAACTAAATTTACCTTATAAAAGTTATTCTGTAAGAATGAGTTTGTTAAAAAACGGTTTTAGTGGATTAAACTTACCATAGTGGGCGGTGAATATCTCATTATCAAATAAATCCACTTCGTTGGGCGTGAACTTACCGCAAGCACTTATTACCTCTTGATTTCGCAAAAAGCTAAAAGAGTATATAAACCAGAAAGACAAAAAACACTTAATGTTAATCAAATTGAACTTAAATGACAAAGAAAATACTTTCTTAAGCACAGCGATCTTCGATTAGTAAATTTAGAAGCAAGTAAAATATTTTGTTAAGTGGCCGTACTGCACGACTTGTAGCAGAAAGAAATCTGAGAGTTCACGCCATTGTAGCTTTTTAACGGTTTTAACCGCTAGTTTTAGCCGTATTTTCACAAAAGTGGAACTCAAAGGCCGTTTTCCATGAAACTCAAGTCGCAGGTCTCGTGGAACTGATCAATCACGTTGGTCGATTGGCTGATTTGACTCTGTAATTGGTCAATTCCACGTACTGGAACGTTCACTCAACGTTAAGCAGTCGGTCACTCGAAAGATAGAAATAGGTATATTTGTCATATCTATCCTTGTCTGAGCATTTGTGATTGGAGTCAGGGCTACCAAACTGCCATATAAATTCTATGGGACCCAGTGGTACCAACATTTGTGGCGCTCTCTGAAATAGCGCGTTGGTAAAATGGAAGTAAATTCCAACATGGCGTCCAGTGTTACACACACACACCACACACATATATACGCATCTAAGTTAATTTATTACACTATTTTATTATTTTTGCTTTAAATAAAAAACAATAGATAAGTTTTTTTTATTGTCATAATTTATTAAAATATATATAAATATATATATTATAAAATATATATATAACGTACATATTATAAATAGTATATAAAATATAAATTTCAACATTTTATTTTATTTTTTTTAACCTACCCTACCCTGAGTTGAAATCCAACAATGGACGACGCGTCGGTCGTTACGAGAACTATTAAAATCTTCCACGTGCTTACTTTGGTAAAAAGGAAAAAGGAAAACGAAATAAAATACAAACAAAATTTAAGAACACGAACAAACTTGCTGCAAATTAGAACTTGAAATCTTGACAATAGTTTTGTGCACTTTCTGTGGAAATAAGAACGTATAACGATAAAAACAATTATTTTGATGCTTAAATTTGATAGTGATGACGTTACAGGAGTAACAATTGTTACATACCTGGGATCTGTTTCTTATTTAAAAATTTTTTCCGTGTTCTCTTAAAAAAAATGATACTAAAGTAAAAAATTGTATATATATTATAAAATTATATATATTTTTGTATATAAAGAAGTGTATAAAAAAAGAAAACTATCAAGGTAGCATCAGCTCAGATAGCACAAATCTAATTTAAATATGTTTTAGATATCTTTACGTTTCTTTCGGATTTTTGTGCAATTTGAAGAACGCTAGCTTAAGAGATCCCAATCAGTGTTTCCAGTTTTAAGACGCTTACAGCATGCTGTAGCGGTAGAAGAGATTCTCACAAAGCAGCAAGTAAATGCTTGCTGATATTGTGCGCATCCTCTCCACGTGCTGTTGCAAACGTCTCAAAACTGGTATCTCTGATCCCAACAAGTAACTGCAAAATAGTAACTGTTTTGTAAGTTTGTACTTACTTTGTATTGTTAAAATTACTGTTGTTGACCTTCAATATCTGTTCGTTGAATTCTGTCAGTTGCAATTTAAACTTGGATGTTATTCACTAAAGCATATGGCGGAAAAAAACGAACATTCTATTTGTACTCTGTAAGTGAAAGAAATTGCGTTGAAAAATCGTCGAATCACGATTAGAGAAGTAGCTGATGATCTTAACATATCGTTTGGCTCATGCCAATCAATTTTAACGGATGTTTTGGGTATGACACGTGTGTCAGCGAAATTCGTTTTCCAAAACTGCTTAATTTTGATCAGAAGCAGCATCGCATGAACATCGCCCAAGACATGTTGAACGACGTCAATGATGATCCTGATCTGCTCAAAAGGGTTATAACTGGTGACGAATCATGGGTATATGGTTGGGCCCATGAAAGGACGAAGATTTGCGACGATTGAGGAGATTAAGGCTGCATCGCTGGAGGAACTCAAGGCAATACCCAAAAGTGCATTTCAGAAGTGTTTTGACGACTGGAAAAAGCGCTGGCACAAGTGCATTGCATCAGAGGGGGATTATTTTGAAGGGGATAAAATAATTTTGGATAAATAAATGAATATTTTTTTAAAAAAATGAAAAGTCACCTTATTTTTTTATCACACCGCGTATAGTTCGAAACGATGTTTCGTTTTGGTATTTTTCTTTCCAGGTCTAAAATTCCGATGATTAGAACAAAAATGTTGAAAAAAAAAGAATAATACGATTTTCTATACTGGGTTCAAACAGATAAAAGAAACCAGATAGACTCGTTTTGCACATTTATCTTTATTCCACAGGCTATCTACATCGAGTATGTTGCCAATCCCCTCCATTCGCAACGCTATCCCTCTCTTTTCTTTCTCTTATGTGTTTCCTTCTATTAAGGGCCTTCTACAATTAGATATTAGTAATAAATCAGAAGTCAGAAGCAAGAAATTGACTAATCACAGTCAAATCACAGAAGAATAATCGATTGTGATTAGTCAATTTCTTGCTTCTGAATTCTGATTTATTACTAATATCTTATTGTAGAAGGCCCTTTTTAGGATTCTTTTTTGAATCTGAATTTTATTTATTTATATTGTGTCTGAAAAGAGAAAAAGAGCAGCGAGAGCTTAGAAAAATCTAGAAAAATGTCAAATCAGTGTGATATTTCTAAAATATGTTTCTTTTTTTTTTATGCCTAGCAGAAAATAGCCACACAAAAGCACTTGTTCACAATATTCTTGCGATCTCAGAAGAACGCTAGATAGCGAAATTTATTTTACAAACGATCGAGTAATAAACACGATCGCGCGCAATTGCATCTTAGCGCTTTTGAATGCAAGTTCAGCAAGACAAGTACGTAGATAAGATTCTCCGTTTTATTTACACAACAGCGATTATATGCGCAATCGGTATCTCTCGCAAACATTGGCGTAACGAACACGCGGGAATACTTCGGTGTTTTTAGAAACATCGAACGTGAGACGAGTGCTCTTCAATTTTTATTGAACGCGCGAAAAAACGAAATCTAATGACTTATCGGTCGTTAGAAATCATCAGTTCCGAGATATAGAAATTGACGCAGTTTGTCCTTGAAAAGAAAAGAGAAATTGTGTTATCTACTTGGGTGTGTTTCAAAGAACTCAGCGAATCTCTTTACTAACGTTCTCTTTAATAAGTTTTTTTCTTTATCGATATAACATATTACCATTTGTCACTTCAAAGGCACATTGTAACCTGCAAACGGAAATCTGTCTTTTCAAGGTGACGTCGAAGTGTGTCGGCTCACACGGACGTCGTCTATCTGCACGTGGTGATAAAAGGAATGAAAGCGAGAACGACGGAGGAGAAAAAAGATAGACGCGCGGATCCCGCGCGTGCATCGTAAAGTCCGCCGACCGAGCGTGCAGATAAACATGAGCGTTGCGCGCACGTAACAGTATAAATAACTTGCGCAAGCGTTAATGAATGCTTATCTCTCCTCGCGCGCGCTTTCCCGCCTTCTTCGCTCCTCTCCTCTGAAAAAGTCGCGAGATAGATAGATAGATGTATACGTATATACATATATATATATATATATATGTATATATATATATATATATATTTACATATTTACATATTTACACACACCAGACGCTACATTTCATAATCTCTGCGCCGTTACGCACGCATTTGTGCGAGCAAATTTCTCCGAGCGATGCAGACGAATTAAATCCACAGAATAGAAATTCAAGAATTCTCTCGAGTATTCGCGCAAAATACCTACCGCGAACGGAATGTTCGAATGGAATATTCATGATATGAAAATGAGCATTTAAGGCGTGTCAGGTTTGTGTATAATTTTCACGGTGAAGCAAAATTATGTTCTGTTTCTGTTCTTTTTATGAACTAGGCTTTTACGAGCTATCGATTAGTCCGACGAGATGTAGTTTTTTTTTTTGTAGCGCGATGATAAATTTAATTTACGGAAATGCGGAAGGTACAAGTGCGTATAATAATTGCACGTGACGAAAGAGACGATTGATTTTCTCAACGAACGAGAGAAACAGCTGACGGCGTCGGTTTTCCCCGTCGTCGCGTCGTCGTTCGGGGTGAATGTAACATGTCCCTGCGCGTTTCCCCTCGCGTCACGCTATTTTGCGATTTCCGTCGAGCATTGGGAAGGGAGATAAATCGATAAGGAGAACGCGAATGTGCGAGGGAGCATGAGAGCGGCCGAGTTCCTTTACGGCCCCCCCCCCCCCTCGTATAAATTACGTATGTCATTTAAGCGTTCGTAGCGAAACTCGCATAAAGACGCTCGCTCTTCTTGATTAAAGCCGCGCTAAAAAAAAAAGTAGCGCTATTTTATTTATCATTTCTTACAAGTTACGTTGGCGCACAATTAGATCACAAAAATATGAAAATGTATTGAAGATTTAGCTATCTACAAGAATAATACTGTTATATTTATTCAAACTTTCTATTTTTTTCTTATACTTGCGATTGCGACCTTTGAATTTCGTTATGTGTGGCAAACCATTCTGAATGACTTTAATACAATTTATAATACAATTACGAGATTTCTTGAAACTATTAATAATTAATTGATTTAAATTATTTAAATAAATTTCGAAACTTGCAAATGTCGTTGTGCAAAGTATTCGCAAATCTATTCTCAATCATCAACAGCCTTGTGTAGAACACAGCGGGTTAGTTGACATGCACTGATTCACACAATCGTGCGCTAACGACGATGGGACTAACGTTTCGTTGCTTGTTACAGGGAACGCCGCGAATCGGATTCTTTGCGAGAGGCGAAGGAACGAGAAAGGCTTGAAAAACAACGGGCTGAGCAAGCAGTTCACGAACATTTCAAGGAGTCTCTCAGGCTGGCGCATCAAAAGGTTAGTCAAGCTTTACTACTTGGTTTCGCTCGATGATCTCGCATCAAAACCGTAAATAAGCGATTGTGCTTAACTTTTTGCCAGAATCATCAGGAAGTGTCCAAAGTTTTCGGAAACGTTTCACGATCTCTTTTCACCTCTAGATCTTCTTTAAAGTTTGTTTAATTTATATTTATTTCGAGATTTCGCGTACTTTTTTTTTCAGCCGTCGATCGCAGTCTAGAAGAAGAGAATTTTTATGTCGGTCTAAAAGAGAGAGAAAATCGCGCTCGGACGAGACGCGGAAATTTAATCTCGCTAAAATTCCGAAGTTACAAGAGTAATAACGAGACGTTATACATTCCATTGAAATGTCAAAACGGCGAAAACATTTACTGTCTCCCTTCATTGTTGATAATTCGCGTGGAAATTTTGACAGAAGCACTTTGCCTATTCTTCCTGCTTCGTTCGTTATTATCATCGTTTTCATCATATAGTCTTATCTCGTTTTCTGAGAGCAACACAACACCCCCTGCTGTCCCACAATAGCGCCGTCTCGAGGAGTTAATAACGAGGAAGAGCTCGGGATCCCGAGAAGAGAGAGCGCGCGCGCGCGCTCTCTTTGTCTCGCGCGACGGGATCGTTATTGCGTCGTTTTTATTCAGGGGACGTGCGGGAAAATGAGAAGGGGACACGACGCGGGGATTGTTCCACTCCGTAGTTCAAGTTTATCGATCGGAAGAAGTTGCGTACTTCCCACACCTCGACAACTCAAATGTTATCGCTGAACTTGGACGGGTCGGGTCCTATATATCCTGTTGATAAAACTAAACTCGCGGTTGAAATTATTGGCAAAGGGTCGTCGCGCCACGCTTCTTTTACCGCTCTAAATCACTTTGCGCACACACCGTACACGTTGAACGAATACAACGTACGAAGTAAAAGCCAGGGACGCACACATAATGCATCATACGTTAGAAAAACATACTAGGGATTTTTGTTATGAAAAAGAATAGTTTCTGTGAGTTATCTGCGAACATTGAACTGCAGCTAGATGTATTTTTACGTTTTGCAACGCCTGGTGAGAATTTCTACAATATGTTCTTGGTGAGATCTACGGGAAGAAAAATCTTTTTCAAAGAAAATAATGTACGTGAACAATTTGAATATGAATTATTAACGAGATACAGAGTTGTGCTCATAAAGAGTAAAAACAATTTAACATACAGCTGGTATTCAAAATTTGAAAAATGAAATTTATCAATTGTATAAAAAAAATTATTGTAATGAGGGTCTTTTTTGTCTCCTACCAGGCGTTGTAAAGTTCGATAGTTCTCTATTTTCCTTTTATGTATTTTCAGTTTTCTATATGTATTTTTCTTTCTCTGACTTCTTTCTTACTGTTAAATTCCAACTTTTTTTTATAAGCAAATTTTTTGCAACAATACTAAAAACGAGATGGTAATATCTGGAAAAAAAATCATAAATCACGTAGATAGTATGTCTATAACTATAAAATTTTAAATGTCCAATCGTCTTCGTGTATGTTACCTAGTGTCTGAGGCGTGGCTAGTTCGTCCCTTTAATGTTAACCTTAGCTTACAGTCTTGCTAGCGCTTTGGTAGAACAGCTTAAAAGTTCACTAAGCAACTTTTGGAAGAAACGACGCGTTGCGTCTTGCAATCTCTTCTGCGATCACATGGTTATTTATAATAAAAAATTTTTATAACTGTGTTTATAAATCAGAAAAATATTTCTCACATTGTGTGCGACAAGACATTTTGTTCTATACGGATTCTTGGGAAGTCGGACATTTTTATATATTGTTTTGGTATATTACAAATTTGTAATATATTTGTAATATTTTATTATAACATACAAGTAAGAAGACAATGGAATTTAACGAACAGACAGAAGACTGGTACAAAAAAAAGATGTCTTATGTATCAGAAGCAGAATTATATGAATTTAACAACAAGAACAAGACAACACGGTTACATGATTTTAACAACAACAAGACAACAGAGTTATGTGAGTTTAACAACAAGTTTGACGACGTACGTGACTTATACAACATTTACCACGACAGACTACTAATGAACAGACCGTTACCTATGAGTAATACGCTAAGCGATTTTCAAAATCGTGTTGATAAGTCCTGTGTATACATGCGTCATGACCTAGAGGTATGTAATAATTGTCGACAATTTGTTTTAACTGAATTGTCAGACTTTTCGTTTTAAACATCTTCACAAACTATATAATACATCGTTGGTGCATTGTTCGTTTAAAGTGGGCGTGCGTAATTAATTCGCGAGCGTAATAATAGTACATATTTGTTTTGTACACGTGGCTTCTCTTATATACCGGCAGTGCCACGTGGACAATCCGACCGCCCAGCTGTGATGGTCCTTGGCGCATCGCCAACTTGTTATAACAGAGCGTGATGAATGTCGTATATATATTCGGAATTGGTCAATGCTTTCAGTGAGAAACTTGCGAAATAATTGTCGTTAGGGAAACGGTGAAATTGTGATAAAATAATGAAATCTCTTGTGCTCTCTGTATATTTTTACTTCTAAATCCAGCTTATGCGCGTTTTACGTGCACACACGTAAATATTTCACAAACTATCACGAACAAAACCTTGAATTCAGAAATATCGTAGTAAAATTGTACCACTTTGTAGACGTTCTCTTCGATTTATGGATTATCACATGTCGGGTTTCATTGAAGTGTTCTGTCAATACCAACAAAAGCTAGAAATAAAAGAAAAAGGTATGATTACTGTGAAAAAAAGAAATACGGTTTGAAAAGATTTTGTAATAAGTGGAACGGTTTAAATGTTACAAAAGTTGAAGATTTATTGGTTTAAAAGTCTGAAACAATATCAAGGTTTTGGAAAAAAAGAGACCCAAAAGTTAGAAATATTTTTTTAACGAAGAGAGAGAGAGAGATTTGTAAAAAGAAAAAGATTTGTACAAGTATAAAAAACTTTTTTTTTTAATATTCGTATTTAATTGACTTTAACGCTTTATTTACGTTACTCACTCAACGCTTTAATTGCTGAATCAAGTATCAGTTTTTTTCTTTTCTTACGCATTCCAAGCATATCGCGCAAAATAATCCGCGAGACTCCGCGCGCGCGCGTTTGTCACACAGCAGGATAATTAACATACTGCGAAAGAGAAATGAGCGGAAACGTAAACTTGCACCATGCACAACGCGCCAACGCAATTGTCTTCCTCCAGAAACGCGCGTTTCGCGCTCGGAATTTCGCCACGTTCGCTCGCCGTCAGCGAACTCGTTCACTCGCTCGTGATACCCACGCCTTCTAATCCCGCGCGAAGTTAATTACCGCGTCGTCCGCGCGCACACATACACACACACATATCCGTATGCACATATATGTTGTACGTATATAGTATATCTGAATTATGTGAAAACACACACGGTCTTCCTCTCGACGTATTTGAAAATGCGCGCGCATAAATATATCGCCCCCTCATCTCTTTCCTATATTCGTCGTGTGTACATATGCACTTGCGCGTGTGCACTTGTACGCATCCAGGCGTTTCAACGTGCACACGTGTGCACGCGATATCTATACCGGAGAGAAGTCTGGCAGTACAGTTATCCGTAATATACGCGAAAGCAAGTCGCGCGCGGCTCTTCTCGTGTAAGCGGATGACACAAAAGCCGCACGTACATACGATCGCACACGTATATACGATGTGAAGGGGCGAGAGAGAGAGGAGGGAGAGATATGGCCACCGTGTACATATGTGGCTTAATACATATGTATGCATGAGGGCGACCGAGGTGATGGCGTAATACGCGAGCACACACATCGCCGCGGCACGGAGAGTCCGAGAGTCCGTAACGGACGGCGTATTAGACGGATTAGTTCGAGTTACGAGCACATACACACGCACGCACACACGCACACAGAGACGCGCACGCGAACGCACACACGATGCGCGGGGGCTCTAATCTCGTTTGATCGCGTGTTGGTAGCGCGCGGAAGAGAGAAGTAGAGGTTCTCGTCTCTCTCGGAGTGTAAATTAGGCGACCCGTTAGGTAGAGAGATGTCTGTTCGTGTTTCCTAGGTCGGCGACATCGTCGTGCGATGCAACGCAGCAGTCGCAAGGTCGTGGCATCGCGAGTGAAGTTGCAATACCTTTGACCGTGCCTGTTCAACATGCACGACGAAGATGACGCAATGTCGCGCGCGCAGTGTCGCATTCGTCGCGTGCAAAAGAGAGAGAACGCGCGTCACTTCGCGCAATAATGTATTTATCAGTTGGCGAGAAAAAAAATGTGTAAATATATGTATTATCGATCTTGATCTTCGTTTCGAGCGGATGAGATGCGAGATAATCGATTCGTCTGACAGTGAAGGGGTTCCTCGAGCCGAGTCGTGCAAAAGGCTGTTAAACCTTGATTACGCCATTGCTCTCTCTCGCGCGCGCGCGTTTATTCAGCGTTGCGCAAGGAGCACTCGGCCTTTTTTTTTCCTTTCCTCTTCACGCGGCTGAGTCAAGGTTTTCAGGCCGGCTCGAAGTGCCGTGCCCGGCACTCTGTGGAAATTAATGACACAGACGTTTTCGAAGAAACGAATCCGCGTATTACAGCTGGTGCTTTTTATAATTACAACGATTTTGCCTCGTCTCGGAAAACGGGTTTTGTTTCTCTCTCGATTCTCGAGCGAAACAATTTATTTCGACGCGATATCGAAGTACACAATAATAATAATTCCCCCGCTGCGCGCGTAGCGCTTGCACATGCCTCGACAATTGCTCATTCTCTCTGCGATACGAGCGTATAATGAACGCAATTTAATTTTTATGCTACTCGGAAATTTCATTTACTCTTTATTTATCGCACGCACGTAAGAGAAACAAGAAAGGCTCTTCGCGAGCCTTCACGTTTCGCTGATTGCGACGTGATACACATATTGCGGTGAAAAATTTAGAGACTCGATTATATTAGCATTGCAGAATTACACGACGAAAACGCTA